CCTCAGTCTCAGCACCTTATGTACCCCTCATCCCCACAGCCAGAACCAGATTTCTTTCCCTGCCTCCTAGGTTGAGCTCTCTGAGGAAGATGATACTTTGGGCCTGTCTGGAAACCACTGAGGGCAGTCATAGCTTTGGTGTTAGCATACCAGCTGCCTTGGAGCAAGGATGCCCAGGACCAAATGATGTCTTACTTTTAAAATAAAGGTCTTACACTCTCCCCAAGTAAGCTGAAGTGTCATAGGCATCCCATGTGTGTGAGGGTCCCAAAAAGGAAGCCTGACTGGGACTCTCTCTTAAGACATTCAATGGTGCCCAGCTTCTGAAAAGTGACCATCCTTACAGCACTGAGTGTCCTCAATAACTAGCTGATGATATTCAGCCCACATAGGTAACCACATTCCTCACTACTGTCCAGGGCATCTAGACATAAAGGTCTTCCATCCAGGTCAACCCACACACACACACACACACACACACACACAGAGAGAGAGAGAGAGAGAGAGAGAGAGAGAGAGAGAGAGAGAGAGAATAATGAGGTAGAAGAGGTAGATGCAGGTTTGGTCACCTCTGGGTCTAGAGTGATAGTACCTTGTACCCTGGGCAAAACAGCAGAGTTGATTAAAGGAATGTAAAGAGCTGACATAGCACTCTAAGCCCAGCTTCCTCCCTACCACATACACTGTGAGTGGTAGTCATTCTGAAATTGCCAAGCAGGAGCAGGTGATCAGGTGGTCAAAGACAGGGACTCTTCCTCCACTGGCAACAAAGTTTTCTGAGCAGGACTGGGTGCAATAAAGACCCCCTTACTTTGCCCACTGGGGATGTGCTGTGCCTGTTGGGGCTCAGCTTGGGTATCAAGCCAGGTAGCTCCAACCATATATCTAACCAAGGTTCCTGCCAATCAGGACTGTCATTCTCTGTGGCATGTGGTCAAAGTGCCAATTGTTTATGGATATCTCACAGGGTAGGGTTATCCTAGAGATCCAGAATGGACCCACGATGGCCTGTGTGTTGTAAGATAGAGACTAGGTATTGGTCATGGCAACTCTACCAAAGAGGAGAGGCCTAGAATGGAGGCTGGCTAAGGGAAACATACATGGATTTAGTAGCCTGACACTCCCATCCCCAACCATGGGATACCCCATCAGGCCCAGAGAGTTGTAACCTAGAAGTGGACACACAATGGAGCTACTTGAGGTAGTAGGTACTTGGGAGCTGGTTCATATAGCCCACTCACCAATCTGTGCACTGCCCATTAGTGCTAATGCCCTCCCAAGGCCCATTGCCTCACCTCCACCATACTTTCTGTCTCTATGGGATCTGGGATTTCTTCTCTTCTTGAGCTCCAATTCTATGGTGGTTTGACTACGCTTGGCCCAGGGAGTTGCAGTATTAAGAAGTGTGGCCTTATTGGAGTAGGTGTGGAGAAAGTGCGTTGCTGTGGGTGTGTGCTTTTGAGACCCTCATCCTAGATGCCTGGAAGCCAGTCTTCTCTTAGTTGTCTTCTAAACAAGATGTAGAACCCTCAACCTTCCTGGATCCTGCCTTGTTCCTGCCTTGATAATGAACTGAATCTATGAACGTGTAAGCCAGCCCCAATTAAATGTCCTTTGTAATAGTTCCCTTAGTCATGGTGTCTGGTCACAGCAGTAAAAACCCTAAGAAGTTAGTATTGCTGTGATAGGCCTGAGCATGCTTTTGTTTAGAAGAATGTAGATTTGGGGACTTTGGATTTGGAAATCCAAAAAAGTGGAATGCTTTAAGTGGGGTTTAATGGGCTATCCTAGTAGGAATATGGAAGAGTTTGTTGCTGAGGATGATTTGAACTGTGAAATCCTAGCACTAGAGATTTCAGAGAAGAAGAATTTTAATATGTGGCCAAGAGACTGTTTTTGTGATATTTTGGTGAATAGTGTGGCTGCCTTTTGCCCTTGTCTGAAGAATCTACTTGAGATTTTGATTAATCACATTGACAGTGGAAGTCTCAAAAAAGCCCAGCATAGACTTTGTCTTCTGGTTTCCTCTCATAAAGAACATTTTGATCAATCAAAGCAAGCTTAAACACACACACACACACACACACACACACACACACACACACACACACAATGTATGATTCAAGTAATAAAGGGGCACCAGGAGATGAAATGGACCAGAATATTGTGTTCGAGGAGATAAACATATTAAGGGAGTGATGACTTTGGGGCAAGATTCCTCCCAGCTAAGTTTGTTTATGCATTTTCTGTTGAACAAGGAAATGATTATACCTAGACATAATTATTATCTAGTTATTGCTTTCACTTGGACTTTTAATCTGGAATTAACTACAATTCAGAAATGAAGGACACAGGCTTTTGGCCAAGACTTTGAGGAATAGTGGCAATGAAAGGCTTAGGCCCACGCACTCTCAAGAGACAGAGACAAGCAGATCTCTGAGCTCAAGGCCAGCTTGATACAGAGCAAATTCCAGGTAAAGAAAACCTTAAGTCGGGGCATGGTGGTACATGCCTTTATTCCCAGCATTCAGGAGATAGAGCTATGAAAATCTCTTGAGTTCAAGGTCAATCTACAAAGCAAATTCCAGGACAGCCAAACTTAGACAGTGAAGGAGTTACAAAACAGAAAGCTGGTGATAATGCAATAGAACAAGGGGCAGGACCATGTTCCAGCCCCAACAAGCAGCAGAACTCAGCAGCTTTGGCCTTGTGGCTCTGGCTTTAGAGTCAAGAGTAGAAGGGGTTAATGGAACAATTGATGCTAGTTAGCTGGAGCTAAGATATTAGCGGTGATTAAGAGGTGACCAGCATCACCGAGGTGAAATATTTTGGAAACTGTTTTCTGAGAGCACAAAGAAGCTATATTTCAGAGATAGCCAGGGTTGTACCTCATGCTGCAGCTGTACTTGGTAATGTGTAAGAACCACCTAGTGGCATTACTTTTGAAGGCATGAACGGTCATGAAAAGCAGCTGAGGCTTGGCACTGTAAGAGGCTATGGAAGGTCATTGGTGAAGATGCAGCCTCAGTTGCAGTTGATGGCCAGAAGGTGAGGCTTGGAACCATGAAGAGAGCCTATCAGAGGCTGTTGGTGAAGCCTAGTTGCAGCAGAAGACCCCAACATATTGGAGATGCCAGTACCATGGAATGACCAAGAACAGCAGTAGCAGTGGAGTGGATCAATCAGAACCTAGAGTGCTACAGAAGGTGGAGCTGGAGAAGTGGCCCAAGTCCTTCTGAGAAGCCCAGAAAATCATATGTGGATTCCAGGCATTGGAATAAGAAGCTGTAACATTGAAGTTGCCTTGGAGACCCCAAGATATTTGGGATGCTGGGGCCATGGTATACCTGATGAGGACAGCTGCTAACAGGGAGTGGAACCAGCCCAAGAGAATGAAGTTTGTTGTTGCTGAATGCCAGATCTGTCAACAGCAGTCAACAAGGATGAAAGGAGTTGGAGACCTGAAGAACACTTTGACATTGGACATGGAGTCTGGAGTTTGCCTAACTTATTTTCTAACTTGCTTTGGTCCAGTATTTCCTCACCATGATGTTTTGGAATGGTAATATGTATTCTGCATGATGTTGGAAGTATGTGAAATGCTTTTTGATTTTGATTTCTTAAGGGATTATAGTCAAGACATTGCATGAATCTCAGAAGAGACTTTAAACGACTTTTAGCATTGTTGAGACTTATAGACTGTGGGACTTTTTGAAGTTGGACTAAACATATTTTGTATTATGCTATGCCTAGGTATGACCCTCATAGACTCATACATTTGAACAAGCCTCTGGGGGCCGGGGAGTGGAATGTGGTGACTTGAATATGCTTGGCTCAGGGAATGGCACTATTAGGAAGAGTGGCCTTGTTGGAGTAGATGTGGAGGAAGTGTGTTGCTGTGGATGCGGGGTTTGAGATCCTCGTCCTAGCTGCCTGGAAGCCAGTCTTCTCTTAGTTACCTTCTGAACAAGATGTAGAACCCTCAGTTCCTCCAGTGCCATGCCTTTCTGGATGCTGGCATGTTCCCACTTTGATGATAATGGACTGAACCTCAGAATCTGTAAGCCATCCCCAATTAAATGTTGTCCTTTGTAAGAGTTGCCTTGATCACAGTGTCTGTTCACAGCAGTAAAACCCTAAGAGAAATACTAACTTAAAACCATTCCTCAGTACTTCCCACCAAGTTCGAGACCCTTTCTCTAAGAAGCTCTCCCTAACCCTAGGTGGGAGAGATCTTACCGTTCCTATCTAGGAATGCCTTGCTTATTTTAGTATATATCCATCCCTAATCTCCACTATTCATTTATGGCTGCTCTTGAAATGCTCCTTGAGCCAGAGGGATCCCAACTTTTTGTTCATCTTCAACTAATAGTAATAGCTATCACACCCCTAGTACACTACCTCAAGCTGCCCCTGGGAACACAGCCAAGGCACTAGAGCCCTGTCAATCTCATCTACAGACTTAAGTGGATGAGGAGGACAGGTGAAGCTGGTGCCCTCTGTTGTTCCTCCCTTCCTCTGGAAGCACACAGGCCTTGAGAACCTCTTTCCCTTACAGTGTCTCCAGGAAATTCCACCATCTTCTTCTGGGTCTATCATTCTTGTGTCAGCTGTGTTGGAAGAGGCTTGTTTGGCTACAACCCAAAGGCAAAACAAATGCATGTCACAAGTTGACTTGGAGGGAGCCAAGGGACCCAAGGCACTAGAGTACAAGTTCAGATCAGATAAGTTGAAGTTGAGGCCACAGGCGTAAGGACTTTGGACTGGCTTCAGCCTGGGGACTACAGCAACAGACTTAGCTCTCCAGTTCCAGTCCATCTCTGCTAAATTACACTAGCTTCCTGTAACTATACGCCATGTTCTCAGCCATGAGATGGGGTACTACCACCTTCTCTCACCATGCTCCCAAGTTGTGTACTCAACTCCTCCTCTGACCACCTCAATGGCTACAGGATGGCCAATTCTGTCTACTACTGCCCATACCACAAAACACACACGAGAACTTTCAGAGCAGTTTTTATAATAAAATTATCCAGTTATATAAGGCATAACCTGAGAAAATATACAAAAATTGGAATGTAGAAACTTAATTTGTAGAAAACACCAGGTATTATTCTCACAGGAGGCTCTGCAGCTGAGCCTTAAGAGACCCAGATGTCCTGGTGTATACTTCACTTGCAACATCTCTGACCTCAGGAGAGGAAGGGTCACACTGAAGGGGGAGCTGATTCCAGCCTTGGGATTGCCAGGAAGTGAGCATATAAGAGGGAGACATGATGGGAGACATTTCACCCGCTCAGTCCAGTAGAAAAGGATGGTGCCAGGAAGGTTGTCCTAAAACCCTGGACATAGGCACGGAAGCATGGTGAAGAAGCACAGACTCAGAAGTACTGGGTACCTCATTCCTAGCGGCCTGCCCACAGGTCAGCTATTTCACATCCCAGGAGGTAGGGCTGTGTGAGCATCTGGTTCTGCCCTTCCCACCCCAGCGCGGGCAGCCCTATAGGATACAAGGCAGTAAACACTACAAGAGAAAAACTCTTTCTCCTGGGAAGGTTTCCTTGCCCACTTTGAGTGTCCCTGTAAGAGATGCTGGCTTTAGGTTATTAAGACTAGAATACAGGGCAAATGAATACATGGTGCCCAGTGCAACCATAGATGGATCTCAGTGTCAAAGTGCAGTCTCAGAGGAGTCTTATTTCTGTTTAGGCCCCCTATAACAGCATAGGCATGTCCTGGGGTCCTCTGTGGCCACTAAGAGGTGTCCCAGTCATCAAATGCCCCAGGAAAGCAAAGGGAGTTGGGAGCAAAGGGACCAGTCTCTAGCTCTTTTTCCCTCCACTCAAGTCCAAGCACAAACAGGAAGGTCATCATTATTAAGCCTGCTTCCGGCACAGGAAGTGGCCACCACCCATAAGGCTGTCACTGCTACATGACTGCAGCCAATACCATGTCCTTTCCCAAAGAGATAGCAGAGGTGGTTGACTAATTTGAGCTGGAACTGTGAGCTGTGGCAATCCTTTGTATGCCCAGGACCTTGGCAGAGAAGAATGAGGGACATAGCCTCAGTTGATGGCACATCAAGAGCTGGGCAGGTCGGGGTTCCTCAAGAAGACAGAGCAAACTTTCTTTGGACCCGTACTTTCCCAGCAGACACAAGGCTGTGCTGGGCCTCACAGAAGTCTAGGAGACGGTGCCAGAGTGGGCAGCAGCGTAGCAGCAGATGGTCCCCTGAAAGGCAGAGTCAAGGTGGCTCTTAGTTTTGCCCTGAGCATGCTAGGCACTGCCTTCCCCACCCCTCCTCAGACACACAAACCCTCACCAATGATGCACAATCCCTCCTGGGCCCGGGTGATGGCCACATTTACTTGGTGGGGGTCCACAACAAAGCCCAGAAACTTCTTGAGCCAACTCTTGGTTGGCCGCTGGTCCACATCACTCCCGGGGCACGTTCGGACTGTGCTCACTATCACATAGCGCCACTCACTCCCTGGGAGGCAGAAAGGAAAGGATAGATGAAGTCACAGCTCTATGCCCACTGCCCCACCCCCACTGACCTACACACAAAAATGGCCTCCATAGAGCCAGCCTCACCCTGGCTCTTGGTGATAGAGGTCACAGTCACTCCGGTGACCCCTCTCTGCATGAGGCCCCTGCTTATTGCAGCAGCCTGTGCATTGTAGGGTGTAAGGACAGCAATATCTTTGGGATCTACTGTCCGGTCCAGGGTCAACTGCTTGGTGATTCGTACCTAAGCAGATAAGAGGACAGACAGAGCTGGAACCCAGTCCCTCTTCTGTCCTAAGCTCAGGGGTCTCACCCGATCCCAGCCTGAAGCTATCCTTGGTCCTCACCCTCCTCCAGGAAGCCCTCCCTGACCCACCAAATACCACAGAGAGTTGCTCTGACACTTACCACCTCTGTTACTTCCTCCGGGTTAGCCCTGGAGTTCTCATTGCCGTCCTCAGTGGACACCAGCAGCCTCTGCTCATAGCCCTGTACAGAACCAAAGATGACGGAACAGCTCTGCTTGCCAACATGACCTAGGAGGCTGGGTGGACGCCTCAGGTCAGACCAGGTCTTCAGCTTTCCCTCATAGAACTCCATGGAGGGAAAGGAACAGATGTCCTTATGCATACGGTACTGTGTGTCCAGCATGATGGCATCCCTGTGGTACCTCTCAAAGAGAGACCGGTCCATCCCCAGATTCCGCAGCTGTTCATTCTTGACCACAGGCCGGAGCTGCTTATGGTCCCCAAGCAGAACCACCTGGAGGCACAGATAGCCATGACCTTTGGAGCCAGAAGAATCCCAACTTTTTGGCCATCTTCAATGCTCACCTATTACACACTTGGTACCCCAGCACCGACTGCCCCTAGGAATTCAGGCATGAGCACTAGATCCCCACAATGCTCACCTTCTCAGTCTTTGAGAAGCATACCAAGGGAATCAGGGTTTCTGGTTCAGTGGCCATGCCTGCCTCGTCGATAAGGATCTGTCGAACATTGAGAGCTTTCAGGCTTCTTGATGCCGCACAGGAGCATGTGCACAGGATGACCGAGTGCCGCTCGAGTTCATATCTGCGCGCCTTCCCCAAGACTCTCCTGTACCTATATGAGGTGACTCATGTCATCCAGTGAACTTGCCGTTGGGTAGCCCCCACCTCCAAGACCACCACTTACACCACAAGATCCTCCCTTGAGAATATTTTCCCTTCTCGAAGCTGGGCATCAAATTTTCTGATCTCTGCTGCATACGGGTTGGGGGCTTGGCGGATTCGGTGGTGAAGGGTAATGCTCCTAGAAGGCAGAACCTTGGTGAAACCCTGGCCAGTGGAGGCCCCCTTGCCTCAGTCCCAGCACAGACAGAAGGGTCATACCTCAGGCTCTGATTTGGTCTTCCTTCCTGAGAGGTCTTGCCAAATAGACTCCTGCTCACTCCTGGCAGTGGGAATTCAGTGGCCTCTGCCTGCTCCCCATACACACGCAGGGGCCTCATCTCTGTCTTCCTCCTCAGGAGCAGTCCTAGGGCAAGTGAAGATGTGAGGCTGAAACTCAGTGCCCAGCACCCTCTGGCAGTCCCATAATTCATCCCTAACACACCTCCCAGGACATCCACAGACTTGTTGGAGGGACCACAGTATAAGATACATGGACCCCCCAGCTGTTCCTCTCCACTAGGGCTGCCGCCAGTTGGCATCTGTTCCTGGTTTGACCTGTGGAACCAGTACACGATGTGGAAACCCACAACGGTCTTCCCTGTGCCTGTGGAGAGAGGACAGTGTGAGTTCCTATGGCCACATCTGCCTACACAGGGCAGCCCCTCCTGGCTCCTGCAAATGGGCCCCACCTGGTGGGCCCTGGATGACTGTGAACTGCTTCCGCAGCGCGCTCCTGACAGCCCTGTCCTGGCTCTGGTTCAGCTTATGATGTCCACCAGGGATGTTGTAGTTCTGCCGCTCCAAGAACCTGCTGGTAGGTGCTGAGGTGGGGGTGTGAGTGTAGCAGAAGCCAAGGATCATCTGACCACCATGTGCTGGGGAAGAAAAGCTAAGGGGCAAACCTACCCTTGTGGAAAGAACGCCAGCCACCTCGACGGGGCTCCTGGATAGGCCGGCCCAAGGCGATACTAATGACCAATGGGGATGCATTTTTCAGTTGACGCACAGCTTCTTCCTTGCGGCTGGGGGATGGGAGTTGGGTGAGAAAGGATATCAGAAAGTGGACAGGATTTTCCTAGGGAGGGAGTCATGTCCTCCCAGGAGAGCCCAGAGAGGTCCTGGCGCTAGACCTCAAGGACCTTCTCCCCAACCTCAGGTGACAGGAGCTACTCACAGGTCAGGAAGCTGCTTAGATAGCACTTCCACAGTGAACCGAGCATTAGGTTTCAGCACCTCTTCTGGAACTTTCTCCATGGTCATGTGGTGGATGAAGAAATGTACCTGCTTGGGAACCTCCTGTCGATCATCCACAGTCTCCTGGTCCCAGTCACCAGCCAGTTCATGGTCCCAGTCACCAGACAGCCCATGGGCCACCCAGGTATATGTATTGGGGTCAATGTTCAGGAAGGGCCCAAGGCCACTAGGCCCAGGGAGTGAGCTAGCTAGGGGAAGAGGAATTCCCTCAAGTCGAATGCAGAGGTAGCAACAGCCAAAGTAGATATTGATACATTTCTCCTGGAGAAAAGCAGCTTCCAGCTGGAAGGTACCCTGCAGCTGCCCCTGCGATGTGTCCCAAGAGATACGCACATCCTGCAGCACAATGGAGTCATTTTCTGTAACAGCACTGGTGAGTGACTCCAGGGCACAGCATGGTCCCCACACACCTGAGTACTCGCTGACTTCACGGTACTGGTCTTGCAGAGCCTGGTGCACATAGCTTGAAAAGCAGTCACCTGGCCGTTCCATGTGCTCCAGGCAGAGGCTGAAGCCAGGAACCACAGTCCACAACTGCAGGGTTGGTGCCAGGAAGCCCCGCTGCAGGCTGGAGCCAAGCTGAACCTGCAGGGTATCTCCACTGCCCAGCTCATAGGCCACCTCCACAAAGTGTCCACAATGGCTCTGGTGTATCTGTGATTTCCCCCTTCGAGGAGAAAGCTTATCTTGCTCCTGGATGAGGGCAGCTATCTCAGGCCAGCGCTGTTCCTTCAGCAGCACCAGTAGCTTCATCCACAGGGCTCCATCTACAGTCTGGGTGTGTTGATCAAAACCCGTGCCCAGAAGTGGTAAAGGCAGCTTGGACTCCTGCACCGAGTACATGCGGCGCCGCCACACAAGTCGCAAGCCTGTCTGGCTCACTGACTCCTGCGGGTGCTCAGCCAACTGCAGGGAATGGTAGTGGATAGGGCAGGGATCAGGCAGGGTTTCCCGGTTTATAGGGAAAAGCACTTTGAAGCATCGGGCACCGATCTCTACATCCACTACAAAGCCCAGCTTGTTTTGAGGCTGGGTCTTGAGCTGGATGGCCAGGTGCAGGCTGTAGGCCCGCCGTTGGTAGCTCTGAGCACATGCATGCTGGCGACTAAAGTCCTGGCAGAGCCCATCAATGTCCCTGTTAGAATATGTAGAGCCCCTGTGGCCCAGTGCCAGCAGGATTAGCCGCTGCAGCACCACATCTAGATACCTACGGATGGGTGAGGTCGCCCATGTGTACCAATCCACCTTCAGTGAGTAGTGGCCAGCAGGTTGCTGCTTACCCTGGCTGGAGCGACCAAAAACAGAGCGGCCTAGAGCCCTTCGGAAATCCAGGCAAGCCGGAGCCAATGAAGGGTGCATGTCATCTGCAGCAATAAGGTCCACCATCTGGCTATAGTCCTGAGTACCAGCTGCAAGCTGCACTTGTTTCCAGAGGGAAGTCAGGAGATACAGCTGCTTGTTGGGGATATAGTGGGTGTTTGAGTGGTGGCACAGGTGCAGTGACAGAGGCACCAGTCCTCTGTGCTTCTTGAAAACACTGTCAAGCTGCTGCCTACTGGGTGTGGGCTGCCACCTTAGTGGTGTGAGTGTCTTTGTGTGCTTGTTGCCCACAAGGAATTCAGCCACATGGCTGTTAAACTGGATCATGTACTCTTGGACCATGATATGGGCTGTGCGGAAGCCCAGCACACTGTCCTCATCTGGCGGCTCATAGTAACAGGCAGCTGGGAGGCGTTGACGACGTAACATCCAAGAGAAGTAGCAGGCAGCCACAATACAGGCCTCCACAGAGTCCAGGTGGGCTGGCAGCTCCAGGCCAGCCCCAGGGTGTCTCTTGATCAGTTCTTCAGCTTCTTCATACGACAGCTGGCGGTCAGAGCGGATTATGGAGGGTGCAAATCGCAGACTCTTGATCTGGCCACTGCCTTTCTCCATGGTGAGGAAGAGAGAAATGGCGAGGCGATCCTGACCCGGTAGAAGGCTGAGTGCACCCTGGCACAAGCTGGCGGGCAGCATGAGAACTGGCTCCCTGCTGGGGGCATAGAACACAGTGCCCTGCTGACGGGCTTCCACGTCCAGGGCCCCATCCTTGGGCACCAAGCTGGCTACATCAGCAATATGCACTGCCACCTCATACACTGGGCCTAGGTCCCGGACACTAAGAGCATCATCAAGGTTGCAGGCACCCTGGGGGTCCACAGTGAAGGTCAGGAAGTGGCGGTAGTCCTCTCGGTGACCAGAGGCCATGTTTAGCTCTGAGCGGTATTTCTGCAAAGCCTTGGAAACTGAGGCTGGGTCTGGTGTGTGGGCCTTCAGGCCATGCTCTAGGTCAAGGATATAAAGGCCCTGATCCCAGGTGATGGCCTTGGGCAGCACCTCCAGGACAATGCCTAGTGGATAGTAGAAACGTTCTCGCCAAAGAACAATACGGACCCAGAAAAGCCGGGTGCCCTGGTCCTCAGGCTTGAGAGCCTCATGCCTCACACGCTGTACCTGGCCTTGAATAAGGCGGTGGATGGGAACTTGCTGTGGGTCCTTTATCTCTGCCACAAAAATCTTAGGCACAGAACCATTGATGGGGATCATGATGCGGGGGTCCCACTCATCCATCCGACACACAAAGGCCAGTTCATGTCTCCTTCTCTTCAGCACACCCATCACACGACCCTGCAGGCTTCCAGGGATGCTCCTGTCATCTACTGCTGGGCCCAGGATCTGTACCAGCACCTCATCCCCTGTGAAAGCCATTCCACAGTTCAGACGACCTCTGACCTGGATAGGGCTACAGGCCGTGTCATCCAGTGGAGTGGCCAATGCTCTCTCAAAGGTCTCCTGTAGGAAGCTGCAACGGCGGAATCGCTTGGGGTCTGAGCGCAGGAACTTCTTCAGTACAGATGAGGGTAGGTTTGTGTACTGTCGGGCCTTCTGTGAGGATGCAGGGCAAACCATGGTGTCAAGAAGTCCATCCTCCCTCACAGTTACAGTCACTTGCCGGCTCTCATCGAGGAGTTCCTTTAGGATGGCATCATCAGCATTGAGTTCCCAGTCAGAGGGCCAGAAGTCAGACTCGGAATCTTCCTCAGACATCCCACCTTCCAGGGTGGACACTTCTGCTGCTGCATCTGTAGAGGCTGAGTTCCCTCTTGCTGTGTCTCCTGATGCTACTGCCTCAGTCTGTGCTGTGGCTGTTGCCCTGGCTCTAGTCTCTGCCTTCACTGTGACCACAGTCCCTTCAGCTATGGGCCTTTGTGGGTCCTGTACTGTAGATTTGTGCTCTGCCTCTGGGCTCCCAGCTCTGAGGGTCAAGGAGGCCCAGTTCCGTCTCTGGGCCACACCCTGCTCAATCTGCTCCATCGACAGCTCCTCGGGGAAGACGCTGTGATGTTCTACGCACTCACGGATGAAGCTTTTCCAGAGCTTTCTGCAGGCTCCAGAGGAACAGAGAGCCACAGCATCTCCCACAGCCACCAGCTGAGACTGGGCACGGGTCATGACCGTGTTCAGCACTCGAGGCTCAGTGAAGAACTCTGAGGTTGGTGCCCCAGGGCTGAGGAGACTATTTCGATTGTGGACAGAGCTCAGTACTACCACCCGGAACTCACGCCCTGTGGGAGACATGGGTCAGGTGGCCAGGTAGGATCAGCAGCCTGGACACCTCAGTCCCACCCTGTCTATGCACATCCAAGGAATGGGCTGGAAGCTGCCTCCCTGTTAGGCCAGCCTCTGGCCCACATTTCTGTCACCTACCTGGCAGGATCTCAAAGCTGCCCACAGACACTTCACCAAGGTTCCTCCTCCTTAGCTCCTGCCTCAGCGCACTAACCTGTAGACAAGTCCAGGGTTCTAGGGGCCTGTCACCCAGTAAGAAACAGGCCCTCCTGTGAATCCCTGGACACCCTCTCCCTGGTGTGGTTATATGAACAACCCTGGAAAGGAACAAAGCAGCCCTCGTAGGTAAATAAAGTAAAGGCCAGAAGAGACAGCTTACCTGGGCACCATGAGAGACAGCACAGATGTGTCTCTGCTCCCGGGGTCCCCAGCAGTGAGGCCAGGTATTGTAGATCTCCTGCACCTTCTCCACTACCTGGGTGACCTCAGCTGAGTTAAGCCAGGATGTCATGGACATGTCCTGCTCAGGGCTGCCTGCCACATGGCAGAACATGAGAGGGTAGTGTTGGGGGTGACGTGGGACTCTGCCACTGGCGTGGATGGGGTTGCCCTTGGCTAAATAGAAATGACGGGAGACGAAGTTGATAATGGCTGCCGTTGACCGGTAGTTCTCATGGAAGATAATTCGACTCTGCTGAGCAATCTTGTGTACCTCCTGCTGGTAGTACAGGAAGAGGCGGTGCAGCAGCGTGTGCCCAGCTGCCTTGTCCCTGGGCACGCTGAAGAGCCTAGGTGTGACCTGCATGTGGTCGCCTGCCAGTACTACACGGGTTAGTGACAAGGCATAGGAGAGTGGGATAAGGGCCTCACACTCCAGCATTTGGGCTGCCTCATCAATGAAAATGTGGGAGAAGAAGCCGGCTGGCACCTGGAGCTCACGAGCCTGAGAAGTGGTAGTGACCACCAAACGGTGATGTACCAACTCTGGGCCTGTGGGTGGGCGAAAGGCCTGGCGGTCCTCAGTTAAGCAGCAGTACTTCAAGGTGGTTGAATCAGTCTGTCTTGGAGGACGATCTGCATACATCACCCTGAGTGGAGTGGCCTCTGGGTGGCCACTGTTGACATAGCCGTGGAAATACTCCCGGATATAGATGTCTGCAGCGCTGTAGGAAGGGTGAGGCACTATGGACTACTGCTTTAGGACTCAGGCTGCTGGCTAAAGCATGTGTGCATCCTTGCCCGGATGCCAGGGACACTCATAAGGCAGACAGACAGGGGTCTTGACCAGGGACTCAAATTTCCTCAAAGAGGACTAAAAGCAAAGACACAGAGAAAGTCAGAGCTTGAAGATAAGTGGGCAAGACTTGGAGTGCATCGGTGATCAGGGACAGCTTAGAGAAGGCAATCTCTTAATTGAGGACAAGGGGAGAGAGAGCTGTGGTCTGAGACCACCCATAACTAGGGGCTAGCATTGATCCTGAACAGAGTTCCTGGGTGCTTCAAGCTTTGGCAACAAGAATTGGTGCCTGAGCCCCCAGGAGCACAGCCTGAGAGTTAAGAGGCCAAGGAAGTGCTGCCTAGGATATTCCAGGTAAGCAATAACAGCCTTGACACCCAGATATCCAGTTCAGCCTAGAAATTGGCTCAGGACACGTGGCTATTGTCCTGGGCTCTTCCTTCCACCCCATACTCTGGGCTAAAAGAGGACACTGTGCCTGTAATAATATGTGTCATTAGGGAACTAAAAAATAGATAAAAAAAATCCCACATTAGTGAAAGAGGAACTTCTTGGTCGAATAGCCTGTTTATATATATATATATATTTTAAAGAGCCTTGCCTAAGAAACATTGGGTAGGCCAAACACACCATTACTACAACTTCTTCCTTGGTCTAAGGTTTGTGGAAAAGGCACCCATATCTCCATAAGAGAGGCAGGGCAGCGGTAAGCAACCCAGAAGCAGCTTTGGGCTCACCTGTTAGTGTGTGTGCAGATGAGCACCTTGGTGTGGGGCTGCTGGACAATTTCAAGGGCAGCCATGGCCAAGGTGTAGGTCTTGCCGGTGCCAAAGGGGCCATAGATGAGCAGTGGTGGAATGTGCTTTGTCCCCTCGGGTCTTCTGCCTGCAATGAGCCCCACAGCCAGCTTCTGTTTGTGATTGCCACGAAATGAGGGTGGGGTGGGCCAGGGGTAGGGCAGGGTGCAGGCAGGCAGGTCAGGAACCACCAGGCGCTCCTCAGGCAGTGCATCCACTGCCTGATGCCAGAACCGGAAGGTCAGAGGGTCAATCTGGAACTGCACCTCCAAGATGGGGCTGTCTTGTGCCTGCAGCCCCAAAGCCATACAGCATCGTGCTGGTAACAGCAGCCACAGTGCATGCTCTGAACTGGCCCGTGCCTCTAGCCGCACTTGGTATACTGTACTGTCAGGTGCAGGTACAGGAGCCACAAGGGCTGTGCTGACTGCTCGGCTCAGCAGAAAGCCCTGGTCAGTGTCTGGCAACAGAGAGGAGGGGAAGGGGACCTCGGCATAGAGGGCCCCTGGAGGTGCAAAGAGCATGCCAAGTGCCGGTGTCTCCAGTGCTGTCTTCAGGGATACCTGGCCCTTCATGGCCAGCCTGGTAGAAAGTTATAGGTCAGTTTTCTATGCTATAGTCAAAGACCCATCTCTAAATCCAGACTTTGGCCACTCCTGCTAGCCTACTGCCCCACTTACTTGGCTACCAGCCGCTGCTGGGCTGTTTCCTCCTCATAGAGAAATTTGTGCATCCTCTGTCGATAGTTCGTACGAGAGATGGGGCCCCAGACCAGAACGTTCTGATTGAACTCCAGGGCCAGGGAGGGTAACTTGTACTTGGCCATCAGGGCTTCCTGCTCAGGTGTCCAATCTACCGCAAGCACCACATGGCGGTTGCCTGTGTGCCAGTATTCCAGTTCCTGGGGGCGGCTGGGTGCTGGCTTCCCATCGAGCCTCAAGCTGTGTGTCTGGCCTAGCTGCAACTTCAGCTTTTGGAGAAGCACTGGCCTGCGACCAAAGTCAAAGACCACCCATTGCTCAAAGCTGCCAAAGGAGGCAGCCTGCACAAGCACCCCTACCTGGAATTGGGCTTGGGAGTTGGGCACACAGAAGTGCTTTCCCTGTGCATAGATCTGGTGTGGTGGGAGACTGGGGGCCACCAGTGAGAAGGCTGCTCCAGGCTCTTGCTTGAGTAGGGCCACATGTAGCAAGGGATCCTGGAGAAGGAGACAGGCCATAAAGTGTGGAATGGGCCGAGACGCTGTCAAGGCCTGTGGTGATTCCTTCAACCCTGACCCTTCCCACCCTCCTGAGAAAGGCAGCTTGCCACTTTCTGAGTGTGGTTTACTCAGATTGCTCAGTCTGCCCTGGTTTTCACCTCTGCTCATAGACCTTGCCTAAGGCCTCTAAAATATTTTTAAAAAGAGATGAACACCTGGACTTTTCAGGGCCCTTGTTTCCTGTATTGGTTAATTTACTCCATTGGGTGACCCCATCCATAGAGTGAGGGTGCCATGGTCCTATCATTGTGGAGGAAACTGAGTCAGAGAGGCTATGAGGTCTGTCCTAGGTCACACAGATACAGAAGCGGAGGTGCTGGCAGCATCTACTCCAAATCGCATGCTTTCTGTATCTTCCCACTTGTAGTCCTTTACACCCTAGAAATCCCTCCACCCAAGCCTGGGGATACCCATAAGACCTGTGATCTCAGGGCTGTCTGACCCTCACCTCGGAGTGGATGGTGAACACCCACTTGTGCTGGATCTTCTTTTCCTGGGCCTGATGAACCAGTGGCTGGTGGCAAGTGACAGACACTCCATGGACAGTCTCAGCCATCTGCACAAAGAAGCTAGGCTTTCAGCACAGCAGCCGTGAACCCACCCTCACCCACTCACAAGCCTCTACTTACCACCAACACCTCTCTACTGCTGCGATGGTATTCTGCAAGAAGCCGTGTCTGGTAAGGTACCAGCCCATCCTGCCAGGCGGCTCGTTCTCGCAACTCCATGTCTTGTGCCCGCTGAACCCACTCCTGTAACTCCTGTTTTGAGTGTGCTTTGATGCAGACCTCTCCGTGCTCACAGAGATCAGGCCTGGAGAGATGAAGACGTCATCAGGGCTTCATGAAGGTCCAGCCTCAGGGGCCAACCCTCTCAGCCCAAACCTGGTCTGTATGGGGAGCAGGAATAGATTGTGTAGGGGTTTCGTTTGCTCTATACCCCAAATATCCAGGGCAAGGGCTGGCACAAGGAACCTTCTTCAGAGGCTATACTGCAGTACTAGCTTGACATACAGAGGGCACAGCAAATGATACGCAGGTCCTAGGCCTCATGGGCCTTACAATCCCTTGGGCTACCCTTGGGTGGGGGGTTCTCCCACCCTAGGCTCCCACATGATTCTCCTTACCTAGGGCAGAGCTCGAACTTGGAGAGCCCCATTGGTGGAGCACGGTGCTTCCAGGGGACAGCCTGGTCAAAGGCCACCATCTGTGCATGCTCCAGGGAGGAGCAGTGGTTCTCAAATGCCTCTTGAGAAGTACAAGTGACCAGGCAGGCATGGCAGTACAGTTTGACAGTAGGCTGACCATGGCTGGCTTTCCACTTGTCCTCCACTAAGAGAGGATTTGTGAGCAGATCTCCTCTCTGAAGCCCATCCAGCTGCTCAGCCTTCCACACAGCCATCTCCACAGCACTGTGAGCATACCCACAGCGTGAAGCCCCATGGTAGCATGGCGCCCCACGGCCCACATACTTGCAGTAGTTTAAAGGATATCTTTTTTGTGGCAGTGGCCGCACCTCCACAAATTGTCGCTTTTGGCCCTCAACTATAACATGGATGAGGAGTGTGGGGCAGATTTGGTGCTTAGGGCAATGGCCCCTGGGATCCACAGGGCAGAGGCATGGGGGACGGGACTTGAAGCACAGGGCACAAAGTAATTGGAAATAGCCACCAAACTCTGCTCGGATGGTGTCAGCTGGGGTCTGCAGCCTATCTGGGGCTCTGGTGCCCTGCACAGCCTCTTTCAGTTTCAGTCGAGGAAGATTGTTCTTGAGCTCAAATGTCCAGACCAGTGCCTCCTCAGGGCTTCTGGCAAAGGTGCATCTGTTCCAGTGATGCCTACAGCCCAAGCCTGGACTATAATAACGACAGACTTGATAGCGCATAGGTGTTGGGAAGCTGGGCCTGCGGCCCACCTTACGCCAGATCTTGCTCTTGGCTGCTTGCTTGAAGCGGGCCAGCAAGATCTCCCTGAGGCAGGTGTGCTCTACCTCACACAGAATGTAGGTACTCTCATTGAGGCACTGGGTACAGCGAGAGCAGCCCAGGTAAAGGTCTACCTTAGCATAGAGTCCAGCCAAGGATAGCCCGTTGGTGGTGGATGTGCTGGCCGGCCTCAGACTGCACCCCATGGATGCCATCTCAGATGAAGGCCAGGTCCTTCAGGATTGTGAGCAAGACTTCTGGGCAGCTGCTCTACTGAAACCATTAGCCCTGGAGAAATGATAGGACAAGAGAAGCAAGTCAACCCAAGGCCAAGAAGGACCTACACCCCTGTCAGGTTATAAGGCAGAGACTTCTGCCCAATTTTGGCTTGTTGGGGAGTTCCACCTGAACTTTAACTCAACCTTTCCTTCCTGAAAGGCCTCCAAGTCCTGCCCAAGTGGCCGCCAGTAAAAGAAGGGATTTGGGGGGCAACAGAATCCTCCATCTGGAACTTCTAGGAGTGGCTCCTCCACTCCTCAAGTTTCATGTCTCCTGGCTGTCTGAAAAAAGTACCTACTTTCTTGAGACCTGCTAGTTGGCTACGGGGATTACTGTAGCTTACCTGGACTTAGCAACAGGAGCCTCAGAAGGGGAGGGCACAGCCTAGCAGAAGTCCCGCTCTACCCAGGTTGGAGAGTCCTCATCAGAGCTCCCACAGAGATGCCAGGAGAGGTAATGCCCAGAGCCTAGACTCTGAGTTAGTTGAGTTAGTACCACCCATCAGAGATGGGAGAGAGACGAGTTAGCTTCCTGAAAACACCTAGTCAGAGCTATGGGGGGCTTTCTCTCTCTCTCTCTCTCTCTCTCTCTCTCTCTCTCTC